TGGCCTCCTCAATGACTGCCAAAGTGAAGGGCAGGGCCCACAGAGCACGCCACTCACCTGTTCCTTTATGCAATCGTTGCTTTGTTGATTTCAGTGGCCATGATTAGCTTGTTATCATGGACACACGCTTGTTATTTTTCAGAATCCACACCTGACCCTGTTGTTGACACTTCCAGATTGTTCTATGTGTACACAAATGTGCACGTGCTTTTAAAATTTTGCCTTTTTTTTTTTTTTTTTTGTCTAGACATGATTCTCACTGCAGATACTGCTGGCGATTGGCTCTGCCTGCCTGCTGTGGGAAGCTCGTGTTCTTGTGGCTATGCACGGGAGGCCTCTGGAAGAGACTTGTTGTGATCCTGTGTCCTGTGGGTCTCTGGCTGATGACATTGAGATATTGGCTTCCTGCTGGCTACAGCCGTGTGGTGTCAGCTGACCTTGCAACATGGGAGTCAGGGTAGCCGAAGGAAGGAATTCTAGAAGGGGAGTTGCTGCTGGCAATGTCAGGAGATGTCTTGAACACTTCCTGTCCGTGTGCACTGCCCAATCAGAGAGAAGCAGAGACAGAGAGACGGGGAGAGACAGAGGGAGACATCTTCCATTCTCTGGTTCACTCCCCAGATAGTTGTAACGGCAGAAGACAGGAGCCAGCAGCTTCATCTGGGTCTCCCACTTGGGTGCTGGGAATCCAGGCACTTCAGCCATCCTCTGCTGCCTTCCCAGGCATGTCAGCAGGAAGCTGGATGGGAAGTGGAGTAGCCGATTCACAAACTTGGGCCCATGTGGGATGCTGGGATTGCAGATGGTGCTTTAACCCAGTACATACGGCACAATTCTGGCCTCCAAACTGAGATTCTATATGTTTGACTCTGTCATGTCCTGGCCCAGCCCTGGGCAGCCACCCGTCTGTGTTCTGTCTGTGTGTGGGATCCCGCAGGCTTTGTGCTTTTGTTCCTGGGTTACTTTGCCCAGCTTGGTGGCCTCAAGGTATTATAGCACTTGGCGTTTCTACCCCTCCTAAGACTGCGTGATGCGGCAGTGTGGGGTAGATCACACTGGGTTTATCCAGAAATCTGTCATCTCTCCATGAGTGCTTGGGTTGTCCCCTTGTTTTAATATTGCTGTGCTTTATTTGTTTCATTTGTATTTTAATTTACTTCTACTTTCTGCTTACACGAGGAATACCGTAGAATGTGTCAATGCATAGATTGCAGGGACCCCAGGACCAGTGTTGCCAGCTTGGTGCCCCTTCCTTCAGGCATCGTTATGTAGACACTGAAATCATACCGGAAAAGCAAAATCACATCCTGCCCATGGCCAGCAGTTTTTACACTGTTCATTTCAATGTGATTTCAAAATCCCAGGAAAGTGTGCAAGACGCGGGAAAAGAGTTCCTGTGTCTTCCGCAGCACGTCAGCGTTCCCTTGGCCCCATGTCTTCCTGGAGTCTGGAACTGAGCTGCAGACGCATCTGTTAAGTCTGCAGAGGCGTGTATGCTTCCTAAAAGCCAGAACATCTTCTTGGGTCATCTCAGTGTGGCCATCAACATTATGCGTGCAGGGCCACCTGGCTGTCACCGCCATCTTTGCGGTGTGCTTTCCAGCCCAGGGCAATCTCACATTTTCTCAGATGGTGGTGATCTTGGGAGCAGCCTCTTATCTTTTTCAATGACTTGCCATGGCTCCTTAAGCCTCCTTCAGGATGGACCATGTTTAGGCTTTCCCTGACTTTCACGGCACACAGGTGTCTGAAGAGTTCAGGTTAAGTATTTTGTGAAAGCCTCCTTCACTTGATCTCATTGGCTGCTTCCCTCCCTCCCCGCCCCAGGTGAACTCTGGTAATGCACTCTAGGGGAGACCCCTCCACCTGAGCCTACAAGAAATTAGGCTCTTGTCCAAGGTGTATACTGCTGCTTCTCCTGGTTGGTCTTTCTTTTTCTCTCAAGACTTTATTCATTTTTATCGGAAAGTCAGATTTACAGAGAGAGAAATGTACGGACACAAGGTCAGCCTCCTGCTCGTGGCCAGGTGACTTTGCACACTCTCAGGCTGCAGGTACCGTCCAGCTCAAAGTGTTGTCTCCAGAACTGAGTCTCTTAAGCACCCAGAACTCCTATCAATCAATAAAATTTGAAAACAGATAGACAAGCCAGTTAAAAAAAAAAAAAAAAAACCAGCTGAGCAGCTGCACTTACCACCTACAGGGGGAAGAGAACAGCCATTTGTGGAGTCCACGAACACAAGACAAGGTGTCCAGTCTCCTGAGGATCAAAGAAATGCGAATCAGGACAGCCAGGAGATATAATTTTTCAGCTATCAGATTGGCAGGATTCAAAGAAATGCACAGTATCCACATTGGCGAAGGTTTCAGGAAGCAAGCATTTCCACATGGCATCAATGGGCACGTCCATGGGCTCCTGTATTAGAGGCGATGTGGCCTTGTTACAGCTCTGCCCCAGAGGTCTCTTAGCAACTGCACAGGTGGGCAGGGCGTTGATGTCACTGCAGTGTCCTGGCAAAAAGAGCCCAAGCAACCGTCCACTAGCAGGCATTAGTTAGGGCAGCCTTGCGTGGAACCACTGGGCAGTAAACAGGAAAGAGGAAACACTGGTGCTATTTGAAAAGGTGTTTGGTGTGGTCGGCATCATGAGAAAGGTAAACTAAACATGCCATATTGGGGCCAGCATTATGGTACAGCAGGAAAGCTGTGACTTGTGCTGGTTTGTGTCCTGGCTGCTCCACTTCCAATCTAGCTCCCCGATACTGTGGCTGGGAAAGCAGCAGAGAACAGCCAAATTGCTTCAGTCCCTGCTACCCACCCAGGGGGTGCAGATAAAGCTCTTGGCTTCAACTTGGCTCAGCCTAGCTCTTGTGGCTATTTGGGACATGAATAGAAGATGGACAATCTTGCTCTGTCTCTTCTTCTCTGTCTATGAATCTGACTTTCAAATAAATTGATGCATCCTTAAAAAACAAAACCCAGAAAACCAACCAACCACAACAACAACAACAACAACAAACCAAAAACGAACAACAACAAACCAGCACATGGATTCATAGGTTCCTCAGTCTGTGTGAGCAGGGAGCTGAGTCCTGGTTGTTCCACTTTTGATCCAGCTCCCTGTTAATGTGCCTGGGAAAGCAGCAGAAGATGGACTAAGTGCTTGGGCTTCCTGCTATGCATGTGAGAGAGCTGGAAGAAGCTCCTGGCTCCTGGTTTCAGCCTGGCCTAGTCCCTGGCCATTTCAGTCATTAGGAAAATAAACCAGGGGGTGGAAGATGAATCTGTGTGTATGCGTATGCATGCACATGTGTGTGTATCTGTCCTCTCTCTCTGTAATTGTGTGTGTAAATAATGCATCTGTTTTTTAAAAAGATTTATTTTTTTTTTAATTGGAAAGTCAGATTTACAGAGAGGAAGAGAGACAGAAGGGAAGATCTTCCATCAGATGATTCACTCCCCAAGTGGCCTCAATGGCCAGAACTGAGTCGATCCAAAGTCAGGAGTCCAGAGTGTCTTCCGGGTCTCCCATGCAGGTGCAGGGTCCCAAGGCTTTGGACCATCCGTTAGATTTTTTAGTTAAGATTTATTTATTTTTATGGTAAAGGTAGATCTACAAAGAGAAGAGACAGAAAGATATTCTGTCTACTGGTACACTCCCCACGTGACCGCAATGGCCAGAGCTGAGCTGATCCAAAGCCAGGAGCCAGGAGCTTGTTCCGGGCCTCTCACATGGTGCAGGGTCCCAAGGCTTTGGGCTGTCCTCTATTGCTTTCCCAGCCCACAAGCATGGAGCTGGATGGGAAGTAGAGCAGTTGGGATTGGGATTCCAGAGCATTAAAGGTGAGGGATTAACCACTAGGCTACCATGCTGCACTCTCTCTCTCTTTCCTTTTTGAAGATTGATTTATGTATTAGAAAGGCACAGCAAGAGACTGAGAGATCGTCCATCCACTGGGTCACTCCCAAAATGGCTGCAGCTGCTAGGCTGGGCCAGACTTAATCCCAGAGCCTCAAGCCTACCTCGCCACAGTACTTGTCCTGCTTCCTTGCTTTTGCTAGAGGCCTTTCCAGTTGTTTCTCTGACTCTGTTTCTGTGTCTGTGGCTTTGAGCTCTGAGTCTACCACAGGAGGTGACCTTGATTAAGGAGCTGGGTCCCTGCTCTGCAAACAGCATCTGCCTGGTAGGAGCTGTGAGATGTATAAATGGGCCTGCGGCAAAGATTAGGCCCCTCTGACCTGAGCATCTTGATCCTGGCTAGGCCTGTGTTCCAGTTGGATTCGTGACTGGTCAGCTTCCTGAAGCAGCCTCTGCTTGATGCTGCAAGACCAATGCCTGATTATTTACCTTAGTGCTGCCAGCAGTCCTCACTGTGGGCAGTATCTGACTTTTATAGGTGTGGAAAACTGAGGTCTGGAGAAAGTAAATCCACTTAGCCAAAATCACACATTTGAGCAACATCACAGTCAGGACACATTTGAGGCTTTTTACCCCACATCCTGTTCTTTCCTTTTATCATGCTTTCCTAAGCCTCCATCCAGTCTGGCTTTTTAGTTACAAATACAGCACAGGATCATAATAGGAAATGCAGAAAGCCAGGAGGTTTCCATGCAGCCGCCTGTCACTGAGTGTCCTGGTTATCTCCACCTGATGTAGTGCATGCCTTGCTCCTCCATATCAGGAGTTCTTTGTCGACCTCGTTTTCCATGGCAGCTGGGTAACCCCTGAGTAACTGTACCATCGTCAACTTGAACAATCCCCTATTGTCACACTTTCCCGATTAGACTCACACCAGCTATGCTGCAAAACACCTCTTTTAATTCAGAAAGGCTTTTCTGTTTGCCCTGCTTCCTTGAGACGTTTTTCCCAGAAGTGGAATTACTGGTTCAAAAACCATGCCCCTTCATAGGCCCTCTGCCTGCATTGCCCATCATTCCCCAAGGTGGCACCGTGTCCTGCTGCTTCCTGCTCTCACTGTCTTTTTCTTCTCTTCCAAAAGTCTCATAAAGAGAATGGCTCAGAGTGTGCTGGAAGTCCTGGAAGACTCAAAGGGAAAAGTCCAGGAGAATCTCCTGGCCAATGGAGGTAAGTGATGGGATGGCTTGTCTGTGGGGTTGTGCACTGGCTGGAGCCCTCACCAGTTGTCAGTGAAAGTTCTGAACTAGCAAGTTGGGCAAAGCTGTGCACTCTGCACTCAGCAGTACTGTTGTGCTTGGAGATATCTAAATGAGTGTGACTGATGCTTTGCTTCTGCTTGTTTGAGTGGACTGGTGGGAACATGCATGCTCCCATCTTTGGACTTGGCTTTGTGTGCCTAATACTCCACCTTCTTGCATTGCAGGTCTGAAGGAAAAAATGAAATGCTTAAAGAGTAGGTTGTGCCCAGCTTGCTGTGTGTGCTCAGTGTGACCCTGCATGTCCCTGGGAAGGTGGGGCATCTGTTTGGTCAGGGAAGTGCAGTGATCAGGGTGCAGCAATTTCTCAAGGAATATCTTCATTGTCTAATAATGATGTCGGTGCAACTCAGGCGGCCAGAGTTCTGTTTCTTTCCCTGACTTTCTCAGGCAGTTCAGTGTGTCACCAGCATGTGGGAGAGCTCTGGCCATGTGGAGCTGCAGGTGAACTTGTGTGTCCTGGCATGCATCTGCTGCTCACCTTGATGGTGGTCCTCAGGTCCCTTCCTTCCAGCAGCTCATCTGCCCAGCTTTGCTCTGTGTGGCCTTGGGCATGCCAGGTGTGAGCGTGAGAAGGGGCCATGTGCCTCTGGTGTTCTTCATTCCACTCCAATGATGGTATGAAACACGGGCATGATGTTAGGGCCAAGAGAAGTTCATATGGGTGAGAAGTTACCAAACAGTTCCCCAAATGCAGTCCGCATGTTACCCTGCTATTTGCTGTTCATTCTAAGAAAAAAAATTTTTTTGGCCAGGTGTCCAACTGATCTGTTTCCCACAAGGCAGCTTGTCTGCCTGTAGAGTGAAGGGCCGATCTAACACAAGGAACGCTGTTACCCTCCCTCCTTTCCTTCTTTTAATGGCAAATGACATCTTTTTAAAAATCTATTTACTTATTTATTTTCGCTTTATTTGGAAAGCAAAAAGAAAGGTGTGGGAAGATGGAGTAAGATATTCTGCAAGTGCTGAGCCAGGGTTAGGCCAGTTAGAAGCCAAGATTCTGGACTTCAGTCTGGATCTCCCACGTGGTCAGCAGGGACCCAACATCTGACCCATTACTGCAGCATCCCTGGGGGCATAGGGCGAGTGGAGTCAGGACTTGAGCCCACGCCTACTTTTTCTACATATAAGGAATTGATGTTTAGAACATGAGCGTTTACACTGCATTTAAGAGTGCCCATGATGTGCACCTTCTGCTCAAAATAGTGTTGTGTAATGCCAGATGCTGCTATGTGGTGGCTGTCCCCAGACATACGGCTGCAACTCTGAGAGCTGGCTATCTCTTGTTTCATTTCCTTGAGGCCTCCTCCAAGTTGGGTGCCAACCACTTCTGGGGCTGCAGTTTCCAGAGCAGGTTCTGTGAAGCAGTCCCAGGCCAAGACCCTGGTGCCACCTGTGCCAGCCCAGGTCCTGGTGGCTTGTTGAAGGCTGGGACAAGTCCTATGGTGTTGAGACCTTTCTAGACCTTCTGGATGTGATCCAAATGGCAGGCCTGGCCAGATGACTGACAGGGTCATCCAGGGGAGCTCACTGCCATTCCAGGTGGGATCTCGGTCACCTCCTCCAGGGCAATTTAGGACAACCATGAGCTGCCTGGGCAACGTGCCATGGCTTGGGTGAGTGGCTCAGTCTGGCCCTTTATGGAGTTAGTAATGATCACCCAGTCAGCTGTTAGGTTTCTTTGGACTCCGGTCTGTTGCCTGGCCTTGCTTTTACTTAAGAATGCTGGGCTAAGCAGGTGTGGGCTGTGTATTGTGTGTGTCCCTTTGGCATCCAAGTGATGGTTTCCTCTTGGGCCCTTCTGAGGACCAGGCTTCCTGACTTCTTATCCTGGACAGGAGTGGCCAGGCCCATCTTTCTCTGCAGTGAAGAGACAGGAGGGTAGGGGAGGGGTGGCGCATAGTCCCTGCATGGCATTGGATCCCTGACACCTGTGTGGAGGGGGCGGAGGGCCCTTGCAAGTGTGCCCTGGGCCAAGGTTCAGTATCTGGTTCTGGGACAAGATGAGGAGAGGGAGGGGTTGCAGTTACAAACTTCAGTAGCTCCTGCCTGATCCAGTATCCCCTTGGACTGTGCTAAGAGTCCATCAGGCCTGGGCATGCACTGGACCCTGGGAGGTGGTGTGGCTCAGACATGCAGCCTGAAGTCCAGGCCCACGGTGCCCTCTGTGCCATGCTGGGGTTGGGCCACCTGTGGTGGAGCTGTCAGAACTTGTGGAGGGGAGAGGGTGACGCCCTGAGAGGGCAGGACACTGGAACACATGAGACCAGGGCTTGGCCTGGGCCCTCAGCAACCTTGCCATGCCAGTCACAGCAGCCACCTGGTCATCAAGCTGAATGTTTTAAAGGCCCTTCTCTGCTGGGTGCTGTGTTGGGCTCCAGGACACACAGGCTCTACCCCTGTGGAGAAGCTGAACAGTGGCCACACATTGTCCCCACATCACAGAGCTCAACGGCCTCCCGGAGCCGGGTTCCCCAAACCCTGGATGCTGAAGGACCCAGGCAGCAGGGAGGAGCCTCATGTGACTTGGTGTGGCTGGGAGCTTTGCCAGGGAGGCCCATGTCCATCCTTGTGGCTGCCCTGATATGGTATCTCAGCCCACGGTGTGGTGCTTGCCCGACACCTGCCCACAGTGGGGTTCAGGTTGCTGTGTGCTGCAGGAGGCCCCCACCCCTGGAACTGTCCTGTCCAGCCTCTGACCACAGTCCCTGTTAGCATCTAGCCATCACCGATCGTTATCCCTAGACCTGGCTGTATCTGTGATGTCACAGTGCCAGGACTGATACCAAATTGGCCTTGGCCTGCTTGGGTGGAGTCCCCTACACCCTCATGTGAGAAGCTGAGCAGCAGAGGCCCATCTGGAGGCCACAAGTGCAAGGTCAGGTGCCTGCCTGGCCTGTGTGGTGCAGAGGGTAGCCTTCTTGCCAGGTCCCCATTGGCCTTCCCTGGACTGTGCTGGCGGACAGAGCACAGCCCAGCTCCATCATGCCCTTTTGTCTAAGGACATGAGGCCTGTTGGGCTGAGGCCCCGCCCTCCGTGCCTTAGAGGTACCCAGGCCCTGACTCACCATCAGTGATGTCAATGTAGAAACTCAATTCTTCCCGCTTGGGCAATCTGGGCAGTTTCTGAGCATGACTCTCAAGCAGGGCACAGCTTAGTCCCCTTAGCACCCTCACGTGGACTCAGCGTGGAAGGCAAGCACGGTGCCCTCTGCCTGCCAGCAAGGGTGACATCTAGACTGCGCGGCTTGTATAGTGGTGTTGGTTATGTAACTCGCTGTGTTGGAGTGTCGCATCTGTGGAGTGGGGATAATGAGAGTACTTAATGGAGATGAGCAGTGACTTAAATGAGTGACTCACACACCCTCCCCCACAGGAGCTGTCAGCCTCCCTGCCTTCCGTGAGTGTAAGGCGTGGAGTAGGTGGCTCTGTCCCAGGTCCATCCCCTCCTAGTCTACTCCTCTGGCGCTTGTCCGCCCACATGCCAGCCCCAGCCTGTCCCTTGCCGAACTCCTCTCTTCTCACCTCTGCGCTGTCCCTGCTGCCTGCTCTGTGGCTACCTGGCATAGTGCGTGTCCCTCTCGTGTCCCCAGCCTGCGTATCCAGCCTCCTCCCCAGTGGGGCCTTGCCATGGCCCCCCACTGCTCCTTCAACAGTGTGTCCCCCCTCCCTGTCAGCCCCTCATGCCCCTCCACGCCACCTTTCTTCAGTTTGTTTCTGCAGCAGCCATAGAGGAAACCTGCAGGGTATGCCGGCACCGTGAGGAACTGGGTGGTGGCCCATCCAGCACTGCTGTCTGAGTGGGCATGGAGTGGTATTGACAGTGATGCAGGATGGGAGTTGTAGGCACAACCCTGATGATGACCCTCAGCAGGTCCTGGTCCTGCTGCCCAGCCCCCTCTGGAACACTTGGCACTGCAAGTGCTATCTGCCTGACACTGTACCCTTTGACACAGGTCCTGTGTCAGCTCTGTTGCTTCTGGCCTCTGTCTCAGCGAGGCTGCAGAACACTTCCTGGGGGCAGCTGCGCCGGCCTGCGTCCTCCCAGCTCCCACCCTCTCCATCACAACTTGCTGGAGGCTCTTGTTTGCCTGGTGGTCTCCTAGCAAGCTGAGATCTTGGAGTCGGGTGTGCAGGGGGTGCAGGGGAGGGTGTCCAATGCCCAGTAGGGCAGGGGCTGTGTGCATGGTGATGTGCTGGGAAGCACAGGCTGGCACGGAGCTGAGGCTGGAAGCCCACCCGTGAGGGAGACCCCTTAGGTTGCTGGGAGGATTCTAGCAGCTCCTGCAGCTAGGAACACCTGCGGCATCAGCTCTTGACCTTGGAGCAGGTGCATTGAAGCAGGCTCAGTGAGGATGCTGGAGCAGGCACGGGTTGGGGCTCCCCAAGCTCAGGGAAGGGGGCCCAGCTGGTTACGAACTTGCACATGATCTGTTGCATGCTGCGTGTCTCTGAACTCCACTCTGCTTGCTGCATTGCCTCTCATGGTGGGGCAGAAACACCTTGAGGTGAGGGCTTTTGTTGGTGGGGAAAGAAATGGGGAAAAGCAAGGTAGTGCCTTGTGCTCACTGGGAAGGGTTCAGGCTGAATCTGTGGCCACAGCACCCTGACTGTCCGTTTCCTCCCATCTCAGAAGCCAAGCAGGGTTAGGCCTGGTTAGTTCTCCAGCATCTAGTCCTGTGGGGAGAGCTGCCCCCGCTGAAAGGTTTTGCTGATACTCACAATGCCTGCTGTGAACTTGACAGTGCAGGCTGGAGACATCCAGTGCTGGGTTCAGAAGGGACTTGTGATGGGTCCTGGCTACGTGTTCTCCAGCCTGCCTTTGAGGAACCCTGAAACAGCATGGTACCCAGAGGGCGACGTGGCCCAGACGGCTGGTGAATGCCAAGTTGGCCTGATGGCTGGACATACTGTACAATCCTGGGTGGCAGTCCCGTGGTGCACCTGCTGCAGGACTCCTGGCCTGGCCTGTTCCTGTGGTGTGGAGAGGGGCATGGGTGCTGTCACCCCTGGGCAGTGCGTTCCCCCTTGGAACCCTGGGTCTGCCCGTTGGCATCTACTGGTTGCCTCCATGGGTGGCCAGGCCCGTGCTTGGCTGTGTGAAGAGACGGAGACCCCTTCTCTTGGGTGAGCTATGTCTTTGTTCTTCCAGTGGACCTCACATCCTTTGTGACTCACTTCGAATGGGACATGGCCAAGTACCCCGTGAAGCAGCCACTGGCGGGTGTGGTGGACACTCTGGCAAAGGTGAGAGGGGTGCTCTCTGGGGACCTCGGCCTCTGAGGGCAGAAGTAGATCCTGGCCACGTGGTCTGCAGAGGCTGCCATGGGGACTCTGGGTTTCTGGGGTGTGGCCTCTGCTGTGCCTGGGCAGCATCCGGCCTTGGGGTTTCTGGGCAGCTCTGGACAGAACTGGGCTCCCCCATGCTTCCCATCCCTCTCCTCCGGGATACCCCACACTATGGCAGTTGGGAGTTGAGCCCTCAAATGTTGGGGAGTTTAGCTCTACCCTGCCTTACCCCTTGAGTGCCTGGTCTGGCTTCAGTGGAGTCCGTTGAGTCAGCTCATTGCTCAAGCTCCCCAGTCAGCTGTCTGCTCGTCTGCAGTTCCTGCAAGGGGGCAGTACAGCCCCACAGCACAGGTTCCTGGAGAGGGTGACCTTTGGCCCTCCTCGCCTGTCCCTGCTGCCATCACACCCTGAGCCCTCACCGTCCTCCCCTACCAGCCTGCAGTTGGGAGTGCATCCCAGAGTGCCAGGATCAAAGACTTGGGGGGCTTCTGGATGTCCTCCCCGAGCCCAGGCAGGGCACCAGCTGCCAGGCCCCTGGAGAGGTGGGACCAGGAGACCGGGGAATCCAGGTGAAGTTCCCTGGGTGAGTGCTGCTTGCCTCACAAGGGGTAGGCCCCGCCTGGGACAATTGGACAGTGATTCCAAAAGGCACCTGTGCCAGGTGTGGCTTCTGGCAGAGTGTGTAGCCAATGCCCCTTCCCCAGATCCAGAATCATGGAGTTCCTTGTGGACTGACCCAGGCCAGCTGCCCTGAGTTCCAGCAGGAAAGCCCCTCCTTAGCCTGTGCACCTGATGGTGGGGGCAGAGAGTGGCTGTGCAGGAGGCTTGAGTTGGGGGCAGCCCAGAGTAACTGGTCAGCCAGCGGGGAGTGTGGGGAGGGAGGACCCAGGCTTTGATCACATGGCAGGCATGCTCTCAGCCTGCAGGGGCAGCTGGGAGCTCCAGGTCCCTGACCCCAGGTGAGGAGGGGCAGAGGACTGAGTTGTGAGTCATGAGGCTCGAGGCTCAGAGGCAGCAGAGGCAGTGGCCCTGGGTCCTGGTGCTCTCAGCACTGCCCCCAGGCACTGGGAGCATGCATGGGGCACGCCTAGCTCCTGCTTTGTTTTCTGCCCGAGGAGACTGAATCTATCCACGAATGCCTGTGTTACCTCCCTATGGCTCTTTGAACATTGAGCCCAGCGCGGTTAGCGAGCTGGTGTCGGGTCACCAGCCAGGCCATATGTGCGGTGGGGACTGCAGTTTCAAGCCCCAGGTCCCTGAGCTGCTGTCTGTTGACTTCTGGTAAAATCAGGAAAACAAGGAAGTCAAGTGACTTTATCATTTTTTTTTCTTTTTATAAAAGGAAATTAGAATAGTTTGGAAAACACTTTCCATACGTTGTACCCGTATCCACTTCCTGTTCTTGATGCTGCACCGTGGTGTGGGGTGCTGGGCTTGGCTGGGCAGCACGGGGAACGTTGTGTGGTCGCACAGCAGAGCTGGCTGGCACAGCATAGCGGCCTGTGGCATCTGGCTGTGGTCCTGTATACTGTGTGGCTGCATCGTAGAGTTGCCTGGTACAGTTGCACATCTCTAATGGGAACACCTGAATCTGAAATCAATTTGAAATCAGTAGGGACAGACTTGACTTCAAAGACATGACTTCAAAGGTGGAAAATGACTCACCTGACCTCATGTGAGGGGGTTGCATTCAACACACAGGTGTCCTGGAGGTGTGTGTAAGATCACCTTCATGAGTGTAACTTAGGACACATGCGTGAGTTTCATGTTTAGACTTAGGTCCTGTTCCCAGAGAACTCTTTATTTATTTATTTATGCAAATATTCAAATGTTGCAAAGTCTAAAAAAATTCAAAGTTCATCTAGTCACAAGACTTTTTGTCAAGTACTTTGTATAGTCTAGTTATGAAGTTGTATCATTTTTTTAAAGTTTTGTTTATTTTTATTTGAAAGGCAGATTTAGAGAAGGAGAGACAGACAGCTCTTCTATCCACTGGTTCACTCCGCAAATGGCCACAAAGGCCAGAGCTGAGCCGTCCTGAAGCCAGGTCTCCCACGCAGGTGCAAGTCATGGCTTGAACATCCTCTGCTGGTTTTCTAGGCTCTAGGAAGGGAGCTGGGGTGGAAGTGGAGTAGCTAGGACTTGAGCTGGTGCCCTTGACTTTGTCATGCAGTTGGTGCTGGCTGAGAGTGGGTCCTCCTGCAGGGACATGGTCAGACTGAGCCCGCTGGTCTGCCCAGCATGCTTATCGCAAGTTGCAATCCCTGCCTCCCACCATGCGGCAGTGGCCGCCAGCTGCACCACATCTGTTCCCACCTGGCCCTCTGCCCGTGAAGTGATACACAGCCCTAGGGCCCAGGAGGGCCTCATGGAGGCGGGAACACGTGGCTTAGCACGTGGTCAGGGCATCCGTATGGGCATTGACCTAGTGAGGCTCTTGGGCTGCAGGTGATCCTTACCAGGGATGCTGTGCTTTGGGGGTTCGTGATAGCAGCTGGAGCCCTAGCGAGGTAGTGGGGGGCACTCCCTGTGGGCAGGACTCACAGAAGAACCGACTTGGGGTGCTCTACCTACAGCTGTCACCGTCCTGAGGACTACCCCAAGCTGGGTCTGCTGTACAATCTGCTTGGACTTGGCTTACTCTGGCTGTGATTCCTTGGGCACAAGTGTAGGGTAGGGGCTTCGCCCTGAGCCCGCCTGGACCCCTGGCTGGAGCTGCTGCTTTACTTCGAACTCCATAAGCAGTCTGTAGCCATGGGGTGAGCTCTGCCTGCCGCCTCCATGCTCACGGTCACCAGGGCTGTCTCCTTTCCCATGCAGCAACTGGCGCAGATTGAGACTGACCTGAAGTCCCGCACGGCTGCCTACAGCACCCTCAAGGCCACCCTGGAGAACCTGGAGAAGAAATCCATGTACGTATCTGAGTCTTGCTCTTGGCCTTGCATTCCCCTTTCCCATCACTGGGGTCCTAGGAGTCTATGCCCATGCACAGGAGTGACAGTGAGACAGAAAGAGCCCTGTGCAGGATAGGGCTGTGTGCAGAGAGGGCTGTATGCAGAGGGTACTGTGCAGGATCGGGCTGTGTGCAGAGAGGGCTGTGTGCAGAGGGTCCTGTGCAGGATCGGGCTGTATGCAGAGAGGGCTGTGTGCAGAGAGGGTCATGTGCAGGATAGGGCTGTGTGCAGAGAGGGCTGTGTGCAGGGACGGGGCCGTGTGCAGAGAGGGCTGTGTGCAGAGAGGGCTATGTGCAGAGAGGGCCATGTGCAGGATTGGGCTGTGTGCAGAGAGGGCCATGTGCAGGATTGGGCTGTGTGCAGAGAAGGCTGTGTGCAGAGAGGGCCATGTGCAGGGACGGGGCCGTGTGCAGAGAGGGCCATGTGCAGAGAGGGCTGTGTCCAGGGCTATGTGCAGAGAAGACTGTATGTAGAGACAGGGCCAGATGCTGAGGTGGTTGGTTGCACCTCTCTGGAGGCACCTGGAGGAGAATGTGATGCTTCTGGTCCATACATGCCCCCCGCTTCCCATCCAGCACTTGAGCTGCTGCCCTTCCTTTCCTCCCATGGACGCTCTCCCGGGAGGGTGGGATGTCCAGGCCTGGCCCTCGGAGAGAAGCAGAGTGCACTGTGGGCCCTGAAACCTGGGGCACAGGAGCTTCAGGGACCCTGGCACCTTCCCCAGTTGCTCGAAGGGAGCCAAATGCTGCATCAGTGAGAAAGTGGGTTGTCTGTGGTGGGGGTTCTCTGGGTGGTGGTGAGCGCCCTGTGGCTGGGGGTGTGCAAGGGGAAGCTGCAGGGGCCTGGGCGGGGCAAACGTGGAGGAGGCAGCTCCAAGTGTCCTCCACCTCAAGGGACCCTCGAGGTGGGTTGCCTGACTTCACAGAACACCTGGGGTGTGGGCCAGGCAGATGAGAACCCTGTGTGAAGGCCTTGGGGCAGGTCAGGCTGTCATGCAGCCCGGTGCCAGCCCTGAGGGCTGCCCACTCAAAGCCCTGGAGAATCACCCTGGGGTACTCGGTGCTCCATGGCGTGAGGCGCATGCAGGGCGTGACCGGGTGGTGTGTGCTTGGCAAACTCCGACTGTGCCCTGGAGCTGCACTAAGCCATCAGGGTGCAGACAGCAGCAAAAAGCAGCCCCTGGTACTGACTCAGCACACGCCTGAAAAGCGGCCTCGTACTGGGCTTGTGGAAGAAAGCAGAGAAGGATGCTGAGGTCCATGGAGGACATGGACATGCCTGCAGCAGCTCTGGGGTCCTGTCCACTGCCATGTAGTGCAGGAAGCAGTCAGGGGGCAACCAGGCAAGCGTGCACCCTCCGCCTGAGCGTCTCTGGGAGCTGGGATCCTGCCCTTGGTCTTGGGTGAACACATGAGGACTTGATGGAGAGGCGGACTGTCCCAGCTGGGTGCAAATGCTGTGTTTGGTGCCAACAGCCAGACCATGGGCGCTAACTGTGAATGGTCATTAGAGCAGCACCCCCTGCTTGGCCCAGGACCTTCATTCCTGGGGTCCCTGTGCGAGGCTGCTTGGGACGGGTGTCTCCTGGCTGCGGAACCAAAGAGTCTGTAAAGTGAGCCTGATCTCTCAGGGCCCATCTCGGCTGAGGCTGCCGGCACTGACACCTGAGGCTCTTGAGCCACTGGCTCACCACCGGCAGCGGGTGGCTCGCGCCAGGGCACAGCAGGGCATGCTGGTGTTGGGTTCTGCAGCCCCTCCCATGCCTGGTGATAGCACCTGGGTCCCTGCCAAGCTCCCATCCACAGAGGGGAGGGAGGGGAGGAGGTGGCTGCACAGGGTGGGCCAACAGCCAGGGCCAGTGGGAGTGGTGGCTGACCACAGGCCCTTGGTCCCTGTCCCTTTCAGGGGGAACCTATTCACTCGGACTCTGAGCGACATCGTGAGCAAGGAAGACTTCGTGTTGGATTCTGAGTACCTCATCACACTGCTGGTCATCGTCCCCAAGTATGTGGGTGGGAAGGGGCAGGAGCATTGGCCTGTCGCTGAAGAGCCGGGTAGCCCCAGTGGCTAGCAGTCTCGCCTTCCGTCGGAGTCTGGGGGGCGAGGCAGAGCAGCCCCCTCTGGCCTGACTTCAGGGAAGCGGTGTTCCTGCTGGGGCCCCTGGGCAGACGGAGTTATTGCAGCAGTGGTAGAAGCCACTGCTTACCGTACACCTGCTGTGGGCCTGGAGCCTCCCAGTCATTTCTTGTCAGGCTCCCGTACAGGGAAGCTAGCTCGAGCTCATCCTGCTGCAGCCCAGCCCATCCCTCTCGCCCCTTTCAGCCTGTCCTGGCAGGGACTCACTGCAGCCACAGCAGGGCTTCGGGATATCAGGGCTCCTTTCAGGCCTGCCCCTGCTCACTTAGAGTGGGAGGGGTGTTGGTGCTGGCTGCCCAGATCCCTCAACGGTGCCTGCTTCTTGCAGACCAAGCTACATGCAATGGCAGAAAACCTATGAATCCCTCTCGGACATGGTGGTCCCTCGGTCGACCAAGTAAGTGGGGCATGCCCCAGGTAACCCTAGGAGTGGATTGGGGAGGGCAGATGCCCTGGGTATGAGGCACCAGGACCATTCTGCACCCTCTGCCTCTCATTCTTAGCTTGGTGCTGGGGTCTCGTGTGTACCTGGCTCCAGTGACTGCCTGGGAACTGGCCACCTGCAGGACACAAAGGCCGTCTCAGTGGGTGACCTGTAGGGATCAGGGCAGGAAGGCATGGGTCATGGCTGTGTCCACTGGGATGTTGACCCTGCGGGCCTGCAGTCTGTGCCCTGGGAGGGAGTTGTCACCTGTGTGTCAATTGCCTGATAGTTTAGGTGGGCTGGCTGCTGCCAGTGTAGTGTTGTGCACATCTGAATTTGTTGTGGTTTGAAGAGCACTCCGATTGGGCCTGCCCATGCTCCTGCCTTACCACATACTGGATGGCAGCCTGCCCACCTGACCTCCCTGGAGGCTTCTTCCTGGGGCACCTGCTGGCAGCTGGGCTCTCCCAGGAGGTTGTCAGTAGCTAAGCCGAGGGGTATAGAGAACAGGATGGCCACAGCCTGGGGTCACAGGGAAAAATGGTGGCAGTTGGCAATTGGTCTGCAGAGAGGAGGAGAAGGAGCGGGGTTTGCAGGGGGTCAGCTGGAGTGGCCCTCCGGGCATTTGTGTCCCAGGTATGCCAAGCACCATGGAGCTGGGCTCAGCAGGTGGCTCTGCCTCTTGGGCTAGAGTCCTCAGGCCCTGCGTTGTCAGAGGGTGAGCACACAGGTGATCTGAGGTGATCTGCTCCTCCAGGCAGGGAAGGTGACTAGGCCAGCATACGCAGGGGACACGTCCTGGGCCCAAGGACACCCATTGTCAGGGTCTTCCTCCAATCCCTGGACCCATATTATGTTGTTGGGGATGCTGAGTGGCTAGGTGGGTTGTCCAGCTGGGACTTTGTGATACAGCAGATACAATGCCTGGGGAGGCATTGGAGCTTATTCCAAATGAGCCTCACTGTGACCCAGTTATCATGGGGGCAGGGAGGAGCGCCGAGGACCCAGCCTGGAGGGGGTGTGAAGGGACAAGCCCGGGTTAGGAAATGCCAGGGGCTGCCCTGGGTGCAGCGTGGCCAGGGGTGTGACCCTGGCTCCAGTGGGTGAATGCCTCTCCCGACAGGCTGATTGCCGAGGACGGTGAGGGCGGCCTCTTCACCGTGACTCTGTTTCGGAAAGTGATTGATGATTTCAAAATCAAAGCGAAAGAAAACAAGTGAGGATGAGGTGGCGCTGGCTCCTGGGGGAGCGAGTGTGGGTGGGTGGGAGTGGGGTCTGGCTGGTATGCCTTGGCGGGTTGGGGAGGGGGTCTCTGCTCTGCCTGGAAGCTTCTTGGTGCCAAGTCCTGGTTCTGGCTCGGAAGGTTCACTGTGCGTGAGTTCTACTATGATGAGAACGAGATCAAAAGGGAGAGGGACGAGATGACCCGGCTGCTGTCTGATAAGAAGCAACAGTATGTGAGTACAGCCCCCCACCCCAGCCCGCAGCCCGTCCCTGGAGCCCACCACTGCAACGGGGTCCAAGCCCCTCCCCATTGGGGCTGCCAGAGTGGAGTCCCTGGAAGAGGAGGGCAAGAGGGATACAGATCAGCTGAGGTGCCCAGGGTGTTGGCGCCTTCCATGGAGGGTGGGGCATGGCGATGCTGCCTGGGCTACGGCTGGATGGTGGGGCTTGCAGTGTGAGCACCATTTGCAGTGCCTGTCCCTGGCCGTGGGCTTCCAGGTGTCAGCAGTACCTGCCTTTCCTCCCTGGCTCCTTAGCATGGAGACTTCCAGCCATGACCATGCCCTCTTGGGACAGGTCACAGGGCAGAGAGGTCACCGGGGCCTGTTTCTGATGGGGACAGGCAGCATGGCTCAGGGAAGGTCACTCCTTACTGCACGCTGGGCTGAGCTCAGCCACAAGGGAGGGGCCTGTCCTTGCGGTGGGCCAACTCGGCTCCCCCTCCCATGGCATCGGCCTCCAGCCATGCAAAGAAGGGCAGGATGAGTAAGTAGAATGCCTTCCAGCTCTCTCCAAGAACAGTGTGTATGTGAACATGCAGTGGTGAGCGTGCCTGTGGGAGGCAGGTAGGGTACCGGGTCAAGTGCTTCAGTGTGGCAGAGTGTTTGCCCGGCCCTCCTGCTGTGGGGGATGACAGCTTAGGGATCCGCCTGGCTCTCAGCCCATGTCCCTCTGCGAGGATTAGGGGCCAAAGCCCCCTCCCTGGAAGTGAGCACAAATGAGCACTTGGGGCCCCTGTGGTTCTAGTCTGTGTCCCCTTAGGAAGGGGACGGTGGATGACGTCTGAATGCTTCCTGGGGATTCCTCTTCCCCACCCCCAAAGCTGAACCCAAGGACACAGGCGCATGATGGGTGTGGACACCTGCTCCTGAGAGTCCCGGGGAGGGGGGCCAGGCCCCTGAGCCCTGGGGGATCCTCCCAACAGTGGCCACAGCCACAGCCATGTTTTCCCCAGGGTGGCTCCCCTGAGCCCTGCCCTGCCAGGAGTCCCCAGCTCTTCTCTGCAGCAGGGCCTCTCCCTGATGCCTTCAGCTTCAGTCTCCCTGGTATTTGCATGGGGCTAGAGCCCAGCAGCTTTCAGAGGCCTCCAGCTGGCAAGAAGGTGGCATAGCAGGGGCGAGGTCTGCCAGGCCTTCCATGATCAGGGAACCTGCCTTCTGCCCCAGGAGTACGGCTGCCAGCTGGGGTGTTTGTTATAGCCTGGAAGCAGGCGCCTGGGAGCATCTCATATCCGAGAAGTGCCTGTCAATCCAAGGGGCTGGGAGGGCTTGAGGAGCTGGAGGGCTCTGTGTACTTGGAGACCAGTGCAGGGCCTTAGCTGCGATTGCAGCCACAGTGGTGGGCCGGGAGGCGTTGTAACCATGGCCCTGGCTAGGCCCTGCATGGTGCCACGGCCAGCACCAGGAAGTCTGCATGCAGGGCTGCTTCTGCGGCTCCCCGTGTTGTCCCTGTCTGCTGGTGACCATGGCCCTGACCATGGCCGCACAGGGCATGAGGGGGCAGTGATGATGTAGTACTGGCTCTGTGCTTACAGCCCTGGCCCGGTCAGCGCAGAGGGCTCCCTGGGTGGGCCAGGATTCCAGAGATTGCTTTGAAGTGTTTGTTTGAGATGCTTGTTTGCCAAGAGATTAATAAATCATTTCTGTACCTTTAGCAAACTTCCTGTGTTGCTCTTAAAAAGGGATCCTCTACCTTCCCGGACCACAAGGTTAAGGTAACCCCGCTAGGGAACCCCGATAGGCCAGCTGCGGGGCACAGCGACAGAGAGAGTGAGGGCGAGGGCGAGGTAAGCAACACCTCCGGGAGCCTGGGGGTCCCAAGCTCGCATCTTCCGCCAGCCCAGGCTGCTTCTGGGAACGCCTTGCCTCTCCTGGGGTCTGATACGGCTTTGGAGCTTGTCGATCCGAGGAGCCCCCACTCCCGCCTTCCTGTGCATTTGCGGGGCTGTCCTGGTGCTTGTGGGCCAGGCTGCCTTTGCTGCAGGTGGCTGAGCTGGTGATGCGCAGGGCTCTGGCTACTGGTTATGGTGGTCGGGCAGCTCAGCTGTGCCCCCCTGGACTGCCCTGGTCTCACCCCTGACGAACATGGGCACCAGAGGTTGCGGGGTCTGGCTCCACCTGCCTCAGTGGCAGCTGCGGGGGTCATGTGAGATGGGCTGGCATGGCCCCTGGCACTAGTGGCTGGGGCAGGGCCTTCTGAGAAGATGGGCTTCTTGGCTGTGCAGTGTCAGATGCCTGTTAGGCACCTGCCGACAGTCCCCATGCCGGGTGCGTGGTGTCCACTGGCCTGAGCCGGCTGGCTGCCCCACTTGGCTTGCTCGGTGCCCTGCATCCTGGACACGGTGTTTCTGAGGCTCGCTCAGGTCTTGGTCCACCGATACTGCTTCTGCTGCCTCCTAGGCGCTGCTGTTCAGCTCAGGGTGCTCCGTCCACACCCCAGCCCCCACTTGGGTGGCCATGGACCAGGAGTGACCAGCTGCCCTGTCTCTGCAGGGCCCCCTGCTGCGCTGGCTCAAGGTGAACTTCAGTGAGGCCTTCATTGCCTGGATCCACATCAAAGCCCTGCGAGTGTTCGTGGAGTCTGTGCTCAGGTGTGTGGTGAGTGGTCAGCCCAGAAAGAAGACCCCAAGCTACCTGTAGCAGAGCCCGTCCCGCCCTGCCGTGCCTTTTCTAAACAGAAGCAGCAGGTCTGCAGACTTCCGAAGCAACGGCTAAGCATGTGTAGTGAGGCACCTCTGTACTTTTAACCTCAAGAGGAAACACACTGGTTTCCTGGTATGTGCCCTTCTAGCTGTTGAGGGTTTTAACAATAATACACAGGTTTTACTACATTTTTAATGAAAATGGACTCAAACAGGAAGTGTTCTGTGGCTCAAGCTCTTCTGCCCAGTTTTGAACTTGTCTGGCGTCCCTTGGCCCCAGGGGCAGCATTGTGCCTAGCTGGCCAGCACCCAGACCTGTCCCTCCCAGCACACCCCCCACAGGGTGCCACCAGCTCCCATGGGCTCCTCTCCCCATCCTCCCACCAGCAGACCCCAAACTCAGGGTCGGCTTGGACAAACCCAGCCCCTCCGTCTTCAGTTCTCTCCGGGGCCTGCCTGCCCAAGTGCTGCTATAGCCTCTTCATCCTCACCTCCAAGTCCTTGTCCTCGGGGCTGTCAGTGTAGCTTGATCAAGCACAGATCTGAGCCTGCTTCCTCATTCTTTGCCCCACACACACCTGCACCCTCACCCTGCTGGGCCTCGCATGCACACAGCCCTCAAGATCCTGGCAGTGCCAGGTGGGGGGGCGGGGTGCAGCCTAGCCAACCCAGAGCACACAGCCACTTCCAGTGTGGTTGGGCATGCTGGGTCTCTGTAGTAGCTTTCCTGTATCTGGTCTTGTTGTGGGAAGGGGAACTCCCAGTACCGCCAGGCTGTCTCCCCCTCCAGGCCTGGGGGCAGAGGATGACGTGGGCAGGGCCTGAGCCAGGGGGAATGCCAAGCAGGAAGGGTCTCTGTGAGGTGAGGTCTTGGTGGGGACAGGTATTGGGAAGTCACTGGGGGCTAGCAGAATGGGTCCGAGTGGATGTTCAGGAAGACAAGCAGCAGAGTACCAGGAGCCCGGGGGCACTGGGACTTCACCTGGGACAAGCCCCAAGTTGTCCAGGCATGGATGGCATGGGGTAGGGCCCTGAGAGCAAGCATGGGAGAACACTGGCCGCTGGGAGTGAGCCAGAGGGGGAGTGGACCTGGAAATGGCTGGAGTCGGGACACCGAGACAGGGGCCGAGGTCTGGACCTTCATTGTGGGAGAGCCCACCAGGTCCTGATGAAGTGACTGCAGAGAAGCCAGCACAGGGGCCTGAGTCCCTGGGAGAACACACTGGCAGCTGGATTGCCCCTTCTTGTTTAACAAACTCTGCCTGGAGACCCCCTCATTGCATGTCCCCAGCTGAAGGGCCTGTGTCTGTAGACCAGGCAAGGGAGAGGGTGAGGGTATGGCCACCTCACTGCTCATGTTCCCCTGGCTGATCCCAGAGAACAAAACAAGGAGGCTGTCAATTTGGCCACTGCTGTTAACGCAACTCGATGAAGCTCAGGGCTCATGGGAAACCTCAGGAGTGCCAACAGAGGCTGGCAAGGCAGGCCTAGCACGAACACTGGGCCCTGGGGCCTCTCAAATGTGGATAGGATGCAGCAGCAGACAGTGGACCCCAACATGGGTCTGCTACAGGCCTGTGGGATTCATGACTTGGGCATCTCTGCGACATTCTGTCTTGTCCATCCCCTCAGCCCAGGGATCCCAAGCCTGACCAGGCTGTCGCTCTCCTTTAGTGGACAAGAGCAGAGTAACAGTGTGGGGCTTTAGCCAAGCACCCAGAGGCAGGAAGGCTGGCCCTGCAGGCAGGCACTCTGCTCTGGCAGCCACTCTGAGCTTTCCCATGACCGCCGGGCTAATTCTCCAGGGTCTGCACTTGGGAGCAGTGCCCTAATGTTGTCTTGTCTGTCTGCAAAGGTACGGGCTGCCCGTGAACTTCCAGGCAGTCCTCCTGCAGCCTCACAAGAAGTCGGCCACCAAGCGCCTTCGGGAGGTCCTCAACTCTGTCTTCAGACACCTGGACCAAGTCGCTGCTGCCAGTCTCCTGGATGTAGGTAGAGGCCCCAAGGTGACCGTGCTGCTGCAGGGCGGGCAGGTGCTTGGCTAAGTCGCTGCTGCCAGTCTCCTGCATGCAGCTAGAGGCCCAGAGATGTTTGTGCTACTGCAGGGTGGGCAGGTGCTTGGCTTGAGAAGTATTTTCACCAAAAAAAAAAAAAAGAGAGAGAGAGAGGTGGTTGCAGCCTGCTGCCAGCCTCCATTCCACAAGAGCCCAGGCAGGTGGGGCTGGGGCAAGTGCGGGTGGCGCTCAGGCCCGTCTCCTCTTGCAGGCCTCTGTGGAGATCCCTGGCCTGCAGCTCAGTAACCAGGACTACTTCCCTTACGTCTACTTCCACATCGACCTCGGCCTCCTTGACTAGAAGGGCGGCCGGCAGCACCGTCCAGGCGCACGTGGACCTCAGGGCTGCTCAGCAGTCATACAGGCCTGCAGGATTCGGATGTTCAGAGAACTGGCTCACAGGAGTTCCTTACACTCATATTTATTTTTTTTTAAGTTACAATAAAATGCTCAGTCCTTTGAATGCCCATGTTCTGAGCGGGAACCGTCACCATTTCACAGTGCTGAGCACTGCCCGCAGGGCGGGAGCCTGCCTGTCCTAGCTCTCGTGTGAACGTGTGTGCTAACAGAGCCCAGAGCCACCTGGACAGCCTGCTCCAGTCCCAGACAAGGTGGGAGGCGCCGTCCCACGCAGCTGCCTGGCGGGCCTCAGTGGTGTCCGGAGCTCTGGCTTCCACGTGTTCAAACACTGGGCAGGAAATATGTCAGGGCTGTCAACTTGCTGGCTAAACATCAGATGCTGGATTTGAGGTGGACACTCATTTCATACGTTTATCAGCACTGTCCAAAATATTGTTTTATTCTTTAATGGAAAAAGCCATTAATATTCAAATGAAGGAATCACATTAAAAAAAAAAACCCTATGTGTAAGAAACAGCCTCCAAGAACATTCCAGCAGCAGTCAGGGAGGGAAGGTGTTAACAGCCCTGTTCACTTCAACATATTATACGACAGAATTCACTCCAATTCACTGGCTACAACAATTCATAGAATTTTTCAGTGTTTTCTTGAGATGCAAAAGTTCACTGGTGCAGTGTTTTGAATGACCGATCAAGAGCTACTTCTTGGAGAAAGGCCACTGGTAGACTTGTCTGGTTCTAAGAATGCTCATTCACTGCATGGAAAAATCTGCTCCCAAGAAAAGGAACGTGCTTGAAGCCCGGTCGCGGTGCTCACAGCTCATCTTTCTCCAAGTCGTCGAGCTCCACATCGCTGAGGTCAATGTCGTCCTCCACAGGCAGCTGCAGGCAGAAAACCATTCATCAGACCCGCTCAGGAGGCACCCAGGGGCCTCCCGCCTCCTCGGCCAAGCCATGAGAAGGCTCCTACCACAAGCAGCCCTCTCCATCCGGCACCTGCTTTTACCCTGCACCTGTTACCACAGATGGAAAAGCTGAGAACTCAGACACAATCTTCACATAGTATGGCATCATCTCCATCTATAGAGCTAAAAGCCACGGGACCCCCATCTTACTGAGAAAGGAGGACAGAATCGCACAGAATGAATGCTACGCTCAAGGCTAAAGTTTTCTCTAAGACAAAGCAAATGTTTAAATGTTTCCCCTAAGGGATGATGATCAGCAAAATAATCTACTGAAATTTACCTGTTGTCTGGCAGGAACATGGACTGGCACATGGCTTTGAGAAGGGATGCCTAGGATGGCTCCAGGATCACTCCTGCACCTGGTGTGCCCCGGCTAATGTGACGGCAAGGACTGACTGCCAGGGCCGCCCACCCCCGCTGTGTGGCCTCCCTATACTCACCACGCCGTCCTGGCCATCCCAGGGCTCTCGCACACTGATGGCGGGGAAGACTCCGCCTCCCACGGGAGCTGTGGAGCCCCGCCCGAAGGACAGCTCCCTGTGAGGAAAGGGACCAAAGGCAGCGCTTAGGATGGCCTGTAGATGAGATGAGCAAACTGCCTCTCCCGAGGGTGTGCGGGTGCAGGCACTGCCGCCACCTCCTGGGAGCCAGGACAGTGCCCCTTGCTGGCTTCTGCACCACATCCAGACAGTCAGGGTCAGCACAGCTTGTTTTGCTACAGTGCAGTGAGTCCAGGCAAGCCACCAGTCAGGTTAGAGCATGGGCCGTGCATCCTTTAAGACTGCGACTGCACCTGCACAGCCCACATTACCAGCATCCCCACTGGCCCACGGTGGCATGTCTGCTGAGTCCATCAAAATCGGATTTGAAAAACATCACAAACCCACACTAGCCTGGATCTTGGAGTTCACCTAACAGCCACCAAAATGCAGGCCACAAGTTCAAGTCTGACTATTAGTTAGCAACTGAAGTTGAAAATAGTAAGTACAGAAGTCCATTAGCCTTGCCTATTTTGTACATATCTGAGTCTCCTTAACATTTTTAAAAAGACAAATAAAAAGAAAAAACGTATTACTCTGGGTCCATTTGTTAAAATACTAAGGAAACATGGGAATAGAAAAGCCACTCTAAAATATACACTGGATGTCCTATTTTACCAATTCTAATAAACCCCTTCTAGGCAATTCTAAGCCAGGTTTACAACAAGCCCTTGACTGCAACCTCTGGTCCCAAGCACACAGCTGCCTATCTGCTCAGGAGGGGAACAACAGCCAGCAGAGGTGCCTGCTCTGCCCAAGGCATTCCCCAGGCCCTTCCTGGGGACCCACCACCCTTCCAGGAGCCAGTCCCTCAGCAAGCTGGTGAGGAGAGCTGGTCCCTGCCTCAAGTCAGACCACCAACAGCAAACACGGCCCGGGCTGAGGACACTGCCCCCCTCCCACCCGGTCACTCCCCAGGCCACCATTCAGGGCACCCGACCGTGCCAGGGGGACTCCAGTAGTGTGCCAGGCTGGCAGTGGCAGCAGCAGCAGTGCAGGCTCTCAGACAGCATTCTTAGCATTCATTATTCATATCCCCCAACCACCTTTTGTCAGCTGAACACAGCAGCAGAGAAGTGAATGAGGAAGAAAGCAAGAACTGAGTAACAAAATCTCCTTAAGGCCTCCCCAAGCCTTGTATTTGCCTGAAGGAGGATTAAGTCTGCTTGAGAGAGAGAGCTGGAAAGGAGCTCCTCAGCCTGAGAACACTGTTTGCACACCGTGGGTAGTGCAGCACACCCATTTCCAAATGACCACATTCCTCAGCCAAGTGCCCAGTTACGGGAACCGTGTCCTCCGAGTTCAGCATTCACAGGGCATGCCGGGGAGGCATTAGGGAGAAAGCCTGTTTGAGAATGACAAGGAGCCTGATGCCAGGGACAGGGGTGGCAAGCAGGGTGGTTGAGTTCACCCACCATGCTGAATGTCACCCAGAAGAGAACGAAGCACAAGATGATTTCAAACAGCAGGATGATTTATCAACACTGCACTTACTGCCTGATTTACACGCTTGTTTCACACCAAAAACCACAACCGACCCAGTCAGACAAGCAATAACAAAGTCAAAGGACCAAGCCATCACCTGAGAAACTCGTTAATGCCCTGCTCACTGAAAGAGCCCTTCAGCAGAGCAAACTTCATCTTGCGGGAATTGATGGCCGCCATGGCGGGGTACCCGAACCCGCCGATCCCCAGTGCCGTCTCCAGCTCTGCCTGGGCGCCAGCTTCTGTCCACAGCCACCTGGAAAAGCAGACGTGTTTCACTGCAAAGATGTCTTTCAGATTAGCTGGAATCTGACTACCAGGTCGGAAGATCAAAAGATTACCCCTTATATATTTTGTGGAGTGAAGTGAATGCAGAAACAAAAACAAAAGATCAGGCTGCCAAGTAACCTAGCTGGGATGTACTCCTGACTAGTTCGTCCCTCATGCGTCCCAAGTGCAACTCCAGAAGTTCACCATGGACCAACTGCCCATCTATGACGGTGCTGTTCCCAGTCCCCAAAACATCCTCCATTGAAAACAATTCCCCATCTTCTGACCTCCAATCCCAGCAGCACCGACTGGGCTGCCTGGCCTACTCCTGTGTTGGGAAGGAACATAATAAACATTTGTTGAGCTAAAAGAGGAGTGAGGCCACATGAGCAGCACATGGGAGAGCTGTGGGGCTTGAGGATGGGAAGTGAGAAGATCCACAGGAAGGGACACAGATGCAGCCCTCTCTCAGGAATGGGTAAGGGACCCCATTTCCACTTCTGTCTGACCTATCGCTCAAGGCTGTCCCTGAGTCAGCAGCACCAGAAGGGATGTGTTTGCCTGTTGGCCTGGAACCCATCCACGGGAATGACCCCTTGGAGCAGCCAAATGCCCTGGGGCAGAGCAGTCTCCTACGTAAGAGCTCCACGCTGGGTTACCTTCTACCAAACCCCAACAGGGGAGAGGCCAGAGCGAGAGCACAGGCTGCGGACGCTTGGAGGGCTCCACCCCGAGCCCTGCCCCTCCCAGGACAGGACAGGAAGCCCAGTCACTTACCCCCACATCTTCTTTTTGTATTTATCTGCCAACTTCAGAAGAACTTCCAAATATGAATTCCTGCCCACAGCTCCTGGTTTTGAGACAGCGCATTTAGGAGGCGGCCTGAGCCCCAGCACAGCAGGGCTGAGGGAGCAGGCTGTGTCTCACCTGTGTCAAGGATGTGGGGCAGCACCGCCACAATGCACAGCTGGTGCTCCTCACACGCCTTCTTGGCGATGTCCTCGTTTACGATCTGTGGGGCCGGATGGGCGACAGGTAAGAGGCTGCAGGCGCAGCTCCCACGGTGGGCACTCCCACTGGACAGCTCCTCAGCTGTGCTGCTCTATGGATGCGCGGGCGTCACCCTAAGCCACCGCTGTGGTGGGGCTGAGGCACTAGCAGAGACCTGGCATCATGTGGCTGGGCACAGCTTGGTGCTGCTTCAGCCAGAAGACAGGTCATCTGCACATGTTCATGTTGGTAGTGGAGACCTTCCATGCCTGTTTCCTCATACGTAAAATGTAGTGCATGTGAGAACTAAAGGACAAAAGCTATGGAGCAGCACCAGAACAGGCCCTTGGAGCCCCTTACCGGGCCAGGTGCTCAGCAAACGTGAGCCTGTTCCAGTCTATTGTAAAGCCTAGGTGCACCCTTGCTCATGGGTCAATTATTTTCATTTTCAAAGTTACGAAAGGAAGCCATTTATCAGGTTTTTCCCCTCTCTCTGGAAGCATAAAATCACTTCAAAGAGTAGTTTCTGGGCCTAGCACAATAGCCTAGTGGTTAACTCCTCGCTTTGCATGTGCCGAGATCCCATATAGGTGCTGGTTCATGTCCCGGGTACTCCACTTCCCATCCAGCTCCCTGCTTGTGGCCTGGGAAAGCAGTCAAGGATGGCCCAAAGGATTGTACCAGTGAGGGGCACCTAGAAGAAGCTCCTGGCTTCAGAGCAGTTCAGTTCTAGCCGTTGCGGCCACTCAGGAGTGAACCAGAGGATGGAAGATCTTTCTCTGTCTCTGCTTCTCTCTATAAATCTGCCTTTCCAATAATAAATAAATAAATAAAAAATAATTTAAAAAGTTGCTCATCTAGACAGGGATTACTGGTTCGATTCCTCTGTCAGACGGCAAAGCCTTACTTACCTCCAGCAGCTCAGGAGGCGGAGCGTTATCTGAGAACAAGTCCATGGCCCGAGACACTATGTCGGACCTCGTCCTCCCACCATCATAGTCCACGGGAGATTCGCCCTTCTGAAAAATCTTGATTGTAGGAAATCCCCTAATCTATTAGAAAAGTAAAATCGAATTACATACACACACGTACCACAATCTTTCTGCTTCCTAAGACCACTGCACAGAAAACTGAACGTTATGTCATGGAGTGGCTCCTCACTGAGGCCCACTAAGCAGGGAACCTGACTGCCAAGTTGTCAGGCTGTCCCTGGGCCTGGGCACAGTTCAAGTGACAAGGCACGTGCTCAGGACAGCCCACTCTTGCGGCCAAGGCCAGCGCCTCTTGGACACTTACCCCGTATCTGCTGGACAGTAGCTGATTGACCGTGGCATCCACAGCTGCGAGCTTCACTTTCCCTTTGGTCTGCTCTTTCACCTCAGTCGCTGCAGCGGCCCATTCTGGCTCTAGACTGTAGGAAAATATTTGCATTGCCAAGTGCCTTTCAACCTGCAGCAGAAACCTTTCTGTCCGAGCCCCAGCTATTTCCCACAGCTCAACACAAACACAATACCACCCATCACTGTTGCCTCCTGGCCCCTCAGCACCCCCAGATCTGGAAACCTACTCAGCTCTGAAACATGACCAAACATGCCCTTGGTCCCAGCACAGGATTTGACGTTCACCCTGGAGACCTCGGCATAACCATCTCTAGCAGCACTTTCACAGTGAGCCGGACCAAAACACTGGAACTAAATAGGTGGACGGCAGTGTCCACTTACTTTTTGCAGTGTCCACACCAAGGAGCATAGAACTCCACCATCCAGATGTCTTCACTATCGAGGACATTCTCATCAAAGCTGTCATCCGTCAGCTCAATCACGTCCTTCTTACTTGAACCATCGCTTCTCCCCTGTCATGCATGACACGCAAGGTCAAACACCACGTGGACAAAAACAACCGTGTTCTGTTTTCTCTGCACAGCACATTCACCTTTTCTTTCGTGAACAGCAAACTGTTATTCTAATTGAGGGTATTCCTAAATGTCCTAGGGCAGGGTCCGGGCAACTGTCCATGTCTGAGCTGAAATTAAAGGCAGCAGTGTCCACCCTGGGTAAGCTGCAGGACAAAGCGAGCTTTACGCTGCCTCGGCGTCAGACACCACCACACATATGCCCAAGATTCAATACCTTCTCACTAAACACATCATGGGTAAGCTTCACATGTTGTGTAAGGCATGTAGAATACCACTCTAGGAACTGTGGTTAGGATGCCTGTGCATCCTACTGGCGTGTCTGACTTGCTTCCTAATGCAGACCCCGCAAGAAATCAGCTTCCTGCACCCACATGGGAGCCCCGGCTGTGTTTGCCCCTGACCCAGCCAATTGATGTGGACATTTGGGGGATGGCAGCTCGCCATCTGCCTCTCAAATAAACAAACAATACCAGAGCAAGGAGCAGGAAGTCCTTCCTGCCTGCCTGTCCATGGATGTACAATTGGCTCACTGCCACACATCAAGGCAGGAGGAACCAGTCCAAATTCCATGGATCTGGAGCAGGTACCCGACCCTGCCCCCTCTGCAGTCACCAAGGACACGGGGTCCCACAGCCCAGCTCACACATGCAGCCCCTTTAGTCTCGGCACTCCTAACCCCTGCACGTCAGCCCGGGCCTCAGAAGCCCATCTGTGCTTGTACTGCAGTCGTGGCCAGACTGGCTAAGGGAAGGGAGATCCCAAGGTGGCCATACAGACCACTGTCGGCTGACTCCCTCTGGGTCTCAGGGATTACTTGTTAGTGGGAAGTTCACCAATTTAAAACTATATTCTACAAGGAGTCTATACTCGGGATTCAAGATCCGGACACACATCACACACTGACACTATGAAGCCTTACTTGTTTTCCAGAGCTGTAGCTGCTGCTCCTGCCCCCGAGGCGGTCCTTCACAAGCTGGCGCAGAGCGCTGAGGGCTGCGTCCACGATAGCTTCGCCTGTCCTGCCACCTACAGGAAGGCAAGGGAGCGTCAGGCAAAGACAGGCAGTCCCCGGCCTGGCCTTCAGCCTGTGTGCCTGCCTGAGGCGACCTGCACACTTGCACTTTCCCAACCATGATAGGTTAAACACCTGCAGCAACACAGGCACTGACAGAGCATGCGCCTCGAGAGCACATGTGCTCTAGGAATTACACCTGGTGGGAAGGCAACTCTCAAGACAGCACCCTTACCTCCCAGGGTATGCCCTGGCAGCAGCTTGGAATGCAGGCAAGCACCAAGACTCAAACCCAGAGCCTTGATGGGAACATAAGCATCAAAAGCCTCTGCCTGCCCTCCCACCTTTTCTCTCTTGCTGAAAACAGCTGACCTGAATTGACCCATAATATAAGAAGTAACAACTATGTTTTACAACTCAATTGTGGTATAGTGGGTTAAGCTGCCCCTGCAATGCTGGCATCCCCTATGAGTGCCATTTTAAGTCCCAACTGCTCCACTTCCAGCCCAGCTCCCTGTTGATGCACCTAGGAAAGCAGTGGAAGATGGCCCAAGTGCTTGGGTCCCTGGACCAACATGGGAAGCCCAGAAGCAGCTCCAGGCCATTAACTCAAAAACATAACTGATCATTTTCAGTGCCTTAGAGCTGGGAAGTCTGAACAAAATGCTGTGCCGAAGGCCTCATCTCCAGAGATCTGACCCCTCCTTGGTGAGGTGACAGATGTCTTGATGCTCACCCAGTATTTGTCTCATCTGTCTTACACGTACCAGTCAGTTAAGCTTCTATAGCCTCAAGTGGGGTTCCACATCCCCATCTTACAGATAAGCAGCAAGCTCAGGGTGATGAAGTGGTGAGGGGCTCTGCAAGCTGACCGTGGCTGCCTGCTGAGCGCACACTACAAACTGCACTCCTGGCTCCTGGCAGTCTGACTCCAGGCAACCAAGTGCAACTCACACTGCTCTCCCTGTGTGGCAGAACCGTCTCAGCTCCACTGCACAGAATGCTCACATGAGGCAAGCCAAGGAGACACGACACTCACCTCGATGTTCCAGGTTACAATCTTCACGAGGTTATCAAGCTAACCATGCAAAGGTACCACACCCAGAACTTGGATTAGGACCATCTGTGATATCTGTGATAACCCCGAGAGAACCTTTCCATGCGACTGATGTGACACTCGCCTTGGAAGTCTGAAGGCAGAATTCTATTGTTAGGTGCCTCAGTGACTCCTAACAAACATCCACAATTTAATCATCTAAAAACCAGACAGAACCCCTCGCATCTTTTGTCAACAGCTCAAATAGTTACATGGTACATGAATATAAGGCCCTCACTGCCAGCATTCCATATGGTGTCAGTGTGTCCTGGCTGGCCCAGTGCAGCAGTTGATGGCCAAGAGCTTGGCCCCTGCATCCACACGGAAGACCCTGGACAGAGCTCGTGGTCGTTGCTGCCATTTGGCAGGTGAACTGGCGGATGAAAGATCTGTCTTTCCCTCTCTTTCAAATAAATAAATGGAATTTTTGAAGAAATAAATAAGGTCTTTCATGCTGAAGTGCTAGATCTGTGTTCTAACAGTAAAGTGAAGAGGTCAGAGCAAGAAAACAGTTTGTCTTTATAAAACATTAAGTGTTGGAGCAAGAGAGACAAAAGGGTAGCACAGGTCCAGGGCACAACAGAGGCCTCAATGGCACATTTGATCTTTCAGATTTCAGGGCCAGTAGTGCTATGGCACAACATGTCAAAACACCCGTCACACCCAGCATCCTATGTTGACAGCACCAGTTTTAGTCCTAGCCACTCTGTTTCCAGGCCAATTTCCTGAAAAGGTGCTTGGGAAGACATTGGAAGACGGCCAAAGTACTTGGCTCCCTGATAGCCATGCAGGAGACAGAGATGGAACTGCTAGGCCCAGCCTGGCCACTGTGGCCATCTGTGGAGAACCAATGGACAAAAGAGCGCTTCTCCGCTTGCTCTCTGCACTCCGAACACCGGGTAGGGGTCTCATTGCACCACCCCATACATAAGGAAATCCACACAGAAACAGGCCGGAGGTTCCGGAATCCTGCCTTCTGGCCCACCAGGTGTAGAGCGTCAGGAAAACACTCACCCTGATAATCTTCTGGTCTGTTCTTGTTGGATCCAAAAATCTTGATGGTAGGAAAGCCCTGCACACCATACTGGCCACCCAGCGACTGATGCTTGTCTGCATCAACGGCACCAACTTTGACAACATCCTGTGGAAACACATAGTCTCCAGTTTCATTAATCTTTTTTTAATTTGAAAGGTAAACAAACCACCCAGAGAGAGATTTTTTCTGGTTTACTTCTCAAATGTTCCCTCCACCCCCACTAGGGCTGGGCCAAGTCAAAGCTGATCTAGGTCTCCCTGACGCTTGCTGCCTCCCGGTGTGCATCAGCAGACGAGCTGGTGGCGGGGGCTGGACTGCAGCCAGGCACTTGGACACAGGATGCGCTGGCCTCAACTGGCAACTGAACCACCGTGCCAATGCCAGCTCCACTTACCTATCTTTTCTTTTACCAGAACAAGATGTAATACAGATCCATCATCTTATTCATGTAAAAAAGAAAGGTAGTAAAAGGCAGGGTGCAGTTTACAAATAGATTCTATGAGGGCGTTAGCCTTGAGAACAGGTGAGAATGTCAAGGCAATGCACGAGGTCTGCGGAAGAGATTCTGTAGCTCCCACAATCAGCAAAGCTAAGACCAGTTTCAACATTTGCCCGAGAAATGTCAAGTGCAGACAACATAAACAGGGAAGGTGGAGGCGGGCGCCTGGCCCCCGGGTTACCACACATGCAATACAAGTGGGCTGAGCCCAGCTCTGGCTCCTGCCGAGTTCCTAGTAATAAGGCATCAGCCTCGGGGCTGGTGTGGGTATCTGAGGTGTGAATTAGCTGATGGGAGCACGCTCTGCCTCTCAAATAAATAAGTAAAAAAAAAAAAATTTACAGTTTTTGAATCGCAATATGCAAATCAGCTTCTTAATGCATATTAAATCCATCCACAATTTTACTTGAACATGCCCAGAGGAATGTGGCCATTTCAGAAACTTACTTTCAATGCAGTTGCTGCTTTCTTCCATTCTGGTGTTAATCTTTGGCAGTGGCCACACCTTTTTTTTTGGCGCGGGAAGAAACAGAAATAAGGTGAAAAACTCAATCCACAGTAAAACTCTCAAACCACAGTTTAAGAGAGCCTCCCAGTGGCTTGGAGGACAGGACAAGAAAAGGCCCCACATGGGCCTGGCGGCGTGGCCTAGCGGCTAAAGTCCTCACCTTGAACATACCAGGATCCCATATGGGTGCTGGTTCTAATCCCAGCAGCTCCACTTCCCTTCCAGCTCGCTGCTTGTGGCCTGGGAAAGCAGTCAAGGATGGCCCAAAGCTTTGGGACCCTGCACCCATGTGGGAGACCCGGAAGAAGTTCCTGGCTCCTGGCTTCGGATCGGCACAGCATCGGCTGTTGCGCTCACTTGGGGAGTGAATCATCGGATGAAAGATGTTCCTCTCTGTCTCTCCTCCTCTCTGTATATCTGACTTTCCCCCCCCCCAAAAAAAGACCCCACAATGACTGCAAGGGCATTCTATTATTGACAGTGATCACACTATCATTCAAATGACTGACCCATTAAATCACATTCCCAAGCTTAAATAACCCCACACCTGAACACTGTCTTTAGCATCGATCAGGTCTGTTCATATATGCAGCTTACACAAGGCTGGCAAAAAAGCATTCCTGGGTCCCAAGGAACGACAGTTCCTAGAGAAAGAACCTGAACTCTAATTTTTCATTTGAGAGAGAGAAGACATTGATTGATAGGTCTCCCACTAGCTGGTTAATAACCCACACGGCTGGGGCTGGGGTCATGGCTCAACAGACTAATCCTCCACTTTCTCTCAAGTGCTGGCATCCCATATGGGTGCTGGTTTGTGCCTGGCTGCTCCACTTCTCGTCCAGCTCCCTGCTTGTGGCCTGGGAACCCTGTACCCGTGTGGGAGACCTGGAAGAAACTCCTGGCTCCCACTCTGCTCAGCTCTGGCAGTTGTGGTCTCCTGGGGAGTGAAACAGTGGATGGAAAATCTCTTTCCTCCACTCTGTAAATCTGCCTTTCCAACAAAAACAAATCTCAAAAAAAAAAAAAAAAAAAAAAGTATATAGCTCATATGGCTGCAATGGTTAGGGAAGCTTGAGCTGGAAACCAGGAAACTCAACTGAAGTCTTCCAGCAGTGGCAGCAACCAATCACCTGCTGCCCCTAGAGCCTGCACGCACTGCAAGCTGGAGGCCTGAGCCAGGGCTTAGAGCTGAACCAAGCACTCGCTGGCAGATGCAAGCACCCTAAATGCTGGATTAAACACCTGCCTTGGAGCCCACAAACCCTATACCCTAAAGGTGACGAATTCCAGATGTAAACTAATCTTTTCATTTCATACACGATGCAGCTAGCCTAGGTCTCCTTCGTTTAAACACTACCACAGCTGCTTTCACAGTTTAAAATGTACTTACAAATTCAAGTTAGTAAACCTAGTAAGTTGAGAGGCATGGGTGTGTGTGCAAGTGTGGTAAGTGTGCTCGAGTTGATATGTATGAGAAGCAGGGAGGGAGGGAAGACAAAGAACACCCTAAACTTGTAGGTCTTAGGACTTAAAATCATACCCAGTATACCACAGTCAGATCCTTGTCATGTCCCTGCCATGCACCAAGGCAGGAGGAGGACAGATGGCTCCTAAGCCGTGTAACATTCATTGTATATTAATACCACAATTTATTTATTCAGATAACTTGTTGCATTTTCTTAAACAAATTCTCAGGTCTCCAAGGACTTGACAAGCAAGAAGCATGTGCCAGCACCAGCAGGAATACGTTCTATAGAGAACTGTGTGTAACTGGCTCGCACTGAACACAGGCGCATGCTTATGTCTACAAGGACAGGATGGAGACTGAGAAGAAACTTACCTCCTTATCGCTCTCCACCAGGGCCAGACACAACACGAACTGCCCCCACTACATTCCCTGCCCATCAGGAGCTACACCCCACTCCACAAAGCCAGTTCTCTCTGAGCCTCATGGCAAGGCTGCTTCTACCTGCCATGTGCAGTACACTTGGGTGCCTGGGGAATGCTTGGAGCCCCATGGCCCTTTAACCTCAGCCTATGCAGCAAAGCGTAACTTAAGTGAGACATCGTGAGTGCACACACCCCTCCCATGATGGCAGGATCAAGTGTCCCCTGATCAAATACCCCATAACCCTAATACATGCTCCACCCGGGCCCAAATGTCCACAGGACTGGAGGCTAAAAATTTATAGTGTGTGTGTGTGGGGGGGGGGGGGGGGGATGGGTGTTGTCAAGGACTTGCATTGGGGAAGATAACTTCATTTTCACTAATGTTTAACTGCATCCCGAGTCAGAGTGCCCAGGTTGGAGTCCTGGCTCCGCCTCCCACACAGCTGCTGGTTAACCTGCACCCTGGAAGGCAGCCGTGATGAGTCTGTTGAGCGCTTGGTCACAGCACCCAAGGAGAAGACCCAGGCTGAGCTGGCTCCTGGCTCTGGTTTTGCCCAGCGTGGGCTACTGCAGGCGTCTGGGGGGGAACATCTCTCACTGTCTCTCTGCCTTTCAAATAAATGCCAATTTTAAGAACTTTTTATTTTTTTATTGGAAAGGCGGATATACAGAGAGGAGAGACAGAGAGGAAGATCTTCCGTCCGATGTTTCACTCCCCAAGTGAGTGCAACGGCCAATGCTATGCCGATCCGAAGCCAGGAGCCTCTTCCGGGTCTCCCACGCCACATGGGTGCAGGGTCCCAAAGCTTTGGGCTGTCCTTGACTGCTTTCCCAGGCCACAGGCAGGGAGCTGGAAGGGAAGCAGGGCTGCCGAGATAGAACCAGCACCCATATGGGATCCTGGGCGTGCAAGGCGAGGACTTAGCCACTTGTGCCACCGCGCTGGACCCAATTTTAAGAACTTTTTAAAAAGAGCAGTAGTTTGACCGAGTCAGGCTCTTAAGCAAAGGAAGGGGAAGGGGTGATTCATTCTGTTTCTTGCACAGGATCATTTGCTGAAATTGGTGTTTAAAATCTGTGGCTTAATTTGAAAATCCCTATGAATTAACTTCTGTAGCTGGAGATACCTTTGAAATGCAGTTGAAATGGCTGGATCAGCAACTGGCTGTAGGCACCGACTATTCAGCAAGAAGTACACAGCCCTAACCTGAAACTCCAAAATCTAAGCCTCTTCCTCAGAAACTTTAAACATGCTGAGTTCTGATTAGGGATGTTCAGCCAATAAAGCCTATGCAAATACTGCAGCATCCCAAACTGCCCAGGTCTGAAACACTTCGACTCCCAACCACCTGGGATAAGGGACATTCAATCATATCACCACACAGAGACTGACTCAGTCCTTCACCAATTGCATTTCCATTTTCTAGGCTTTCTCTGTGGCTCTAGGCTTTATTTAATACCTGTGGAACCTCCATCCCAGGAACACAAAGCCTCCGTGCACTGCCAAACGAGGCCGTCACAGAAGGAGGCCACAAGTGCCTGTGCTAAACATTCTCTTCACCCCTCCCTTCAAAAAAAAAAGAGAGAAAAAAAGATCTTCCATCTGTTGGTTCATTCCCCAAACAAGCAGAGCAGCCAGGGCAGGCCGAAACAAGCAGCCAGGAGTTTTTCTAGAGCTCCCACATGGGTGCAGTACCCAAGATCTTGGGCCATCCTCTGCTGGCTCCCCAGGAGCACTAGCATGGAGCTGGATCAGAGGTGGGGCAGCTGGGACTCCAATCTGCATCCAAGCATCCAAACAGGACGCCAATGTTTCAGGTGGCAGCTTAACACTGTGCCATAAGCTCTGGCCTCATCACTAGACATTTTCTAACCTGCAACATCATGAAGTGAAATTCTCCCAGTAGAATAAGTAATCACCTACTGGATCCCAATTTTGCTTTTTCAATTAAGCTGCCTGGTATCATTTTATTTAAAAAAAAAATTAATTTGAGGGGCAAATAAGAGACAGAGGTAGAGGTAGAGAGAGGAGGAGGAGGGAGGAAGAGGGAGTCTCCTACTTGGGTGCTGTGATCAAGTGCTTGGTGGGCTCATCAAGGCTGCAGGTGAGCTGGCAGCTGGACCGGAGGCGGAGCCAGGACTCCAACCAGGGCACTCTGACACGGGATGCAGGCTGCATCTCAAACGCTGTGCCAAATACCCAGCCCCAAAAGACTGTTTTCTCACCTTTATCCCACTTTCCTCATCATAAGCAGAGACCTTAAAAATGACAAGGTTTCAGGGGCTGGTGGTGTAGCACTGTGGGTTACATCATATCGGAGTGCTGATTCAAGTCCTGGCTTCTCTGCTTCCTGATCCAGCTTCCTGTTAATGTGCCAGGGATGCCAGCAGAAGATGACCTAACTGTGTGGGCCCTACCACTCCTGTGGGAGACCCAGATGTAGCTCCTGGCTCCAGCCTGGCCCAGACCTGGCTTGCACACTTAGGCATGCTTCTTCTCTTCCTTTCCCACAGAAACAAATTAATCTTAAACGATAAGGTTCTTCCTTTTATCGTTCTTATAACAACTAGCTGCTTTAACGACCTTTTATCCCGATTCAATCTTGATGACTTTATTTTTAAAATTTTTTTTTTAAGATTTATTTTATTTTTATTGGAAAGGCAGATATACAGAGAGGAGAGACAGAGAGGAAGATCTTCCCTCCGATGATTCACTCCCCAAGTGAGCGCAACAGCCAATGCTATGCCAATCTGAAACCAGGAGCCAGGAACTTCTTCCGGGTCTCCCACATGGGTACAGGGTCCCAAAGCTTTGGGCTGTCCTTGACTGCTTTCCCAGGCCACAAGCAGGGAGCTGGATGGGAAGAGGGGCTGCTGGGATTAGAACCGGCGCCCATATGGGATCCCAGGCATGCAAGGCAAGGACCTTAACCACTTGCGCCACCCGCCGGGCCCAATCTTGATGACTTTTAACAGATTCAACATTTTGTGGATGTTCCCATCTCTCCTACTTTTAAAGCAAATTGTAAGCTAGATAAAATTAATTTTTATATAGCATTTTTCTAATTTTATGGTGTACCAGAACTGTCTGCATGTGTCAGCCTACTTACCATGGAGCATAGAATTCTACAAGCCATAGACTGTCACTCTGAATGACTTCCCGGTTGAAGTTGGATGGGGTTAATTCAATGACGTCATCGCTAGAGGAGTACAGACCATTCACAGCAAGAAATAAGGTGCAGCTCACCAGCCCTGGAGGGACAGACACACACGCCATCAGAATGACCTCTCGGGCCTCCAGCCCAAGCCCCCGTGCAGCGTCCAGTAGCAGGCTGTGCTCAGCCTCCTTTCTGGAGCCGCAGTGTTCTTACCTACTGTCATTACATGGACAGGAACACTGAACAGAGACTGTTTCGGGCCAGTATTTCATTTCTACCCACAGCACACTATCAAGCTCTCACCACAAAGGAACGAAGTGCAGTTTCCCATGGTCCATCTCCCAGATGCAGCACATGGTCTGCTGTACTAGTAGGATGTTTTAATTGAGAGGCAGAGGGAGATCAAAGCAGATGACAAGTGAGCACCCATCTCAGACAACTCCCCTGGGCCCACAGAGGCAGGGTCTGGACTGGGTGATAGCTGGGGCCAAGGCACTCCACCTGTCTCCTACACATGGCAGAAACCCAATGACTGAGCTGTTACTGCCAACCAAGGTCTGGGGCCAACAGCTGTCGTCAATACTGACGCAGACCCTCCAGTAGGGGTGCAGGCGGCTTCACCAATGGACCAACTGATCCCCATGCCAGCTGCATCGCTAACAGCACGACTTACCCTCACTGCAGATCAAGGGTATTGCTTCTGGCCACTCTAAGAAACTCAATGTAATTTATAATAACCATAAAGAAAAGCAAACTCTGAACTAGTCTCTTAAGAACTCAATTTCTGAACGAGCACACTATCAATATTTATATCCTTTAGCATGCTTCCTGATCACCCCCAGGACAATGATAAACACTGAGGAACCTTGGGTTTCTCCCGACTTCCACAGGAATGTTTTCCCGTGTGCATGATGCTGGCCTTGAGGCTGAAACAGATGGCTTAGAGAAATCTCTATCTCTCTCTTTTCCTCTTAGCAAAGCTCCGAGCTTTCCTTTTAATCCGCTGAAGTGGACTACGAGACTGTGGATTCTTTAGAGCGGAGTGTGTATGGGCCATCTCAAAGAGGTTCTCCACTGTTAGGAACAACCCCACGGTTAATATCCCCCAGAAGGAGGGCACAGATGCCTTAGCTTCATCAGCTCCCCTGACTTCCCACAGCCTTGCTCAGTGGCAGTTATCAGCACAGGGTGAGCAAGGAACCACAGCCAGTGACCACCTCTGATCCCATTCCCAAGCTTTTCCCATGAAGCTGTGTGCCCAGAGAAAATGGTTCAGCACGCCACAGCCTGGTAAACCATCACACAATTCAAGAATACTTCAAGTGAATTGCAGACACGTGACTATAACAGCTTATGACCTAACAGGGAAGACTGCTAGAGTGACGAGAAGCCACTGAGGGGTTGTGGGGATGACTAAGAGGTGTGGGGATGGGAAGAGTAACCGGTGCTAGTGGGAGTCACATCAGGAAAGACTCAAAGACGAGCTAACAGAGGTGACTGGGTGTGCTGACAGTGGGGAGAGGCAGGCTGCTGCCTCCCAGGCCTGCTGTCCAGCAGGGCCACACTCAAAGACCGGGTAAAGCCATGGTAACAGCAACTCCATTCACTGATATCTTTGTGTTAATTACAGGTTGAAAACATTTAAGATGTGCTGAGTAAATAAATACATGTAAAAATTCACTTCAGATGTCCTTTGCTTTTTTTAAAATGTGGTTACGAAAAAATCTACAGGTACATAATTACCTGAAGTATGTTGTTCAGCGACCAGCTCAAACTCTGAGTAAGCGCAAAGCCTGGCCTGGGTCAGCTCTACAACTTCAAAAGCAATGCATTTCTTAATAAAAACTCAGATAAATGTGTATTTGCTCAGCAGACTGAGTCAAATGTGAAACTTCTAGAATTAGAAAATTCTTGGGGATTTTAAACGATGGTGCCAGGCTGCCCATGTGAAGTCTCACTGCGTTCCATTTTGCACTATCAGCTCAGCGCCTTGTACTCCCGGCCCCTCGCCAGCCCCTCACCTTCAGAGCAAGCCCTGCCCAGGTGGTCGCAGACCAGTTTGGAACTGTCTGTACCACACCTCACAAGCCAGGGTATTTAATTTACTTCTGGGGGCGGGGCACAACACCGGTTTCCATGTTCTATCTAGTACTCCCTCCTCAGCCTCTCAGGGCTCAACCACCATGCCTGCTTTCCGGTCCGGGAAGCCCAGGCCCAGAAGGCTTGTTTGCCTGAGGTCACATATGGAGAATGGAACAGACACACTTATGTAACCCGTATGGCTAAGCTCGTCCAGAGAATCCCAAGGAGCATTGCTGGGAATAATTAGTTCTTCAGTGCGGTCAGCAGGCAACGGGGTACCCAAGTAGACTGGAACTGCCAAAGGGTGCCCCAGGAATCGCCCAGCCAGGAAGGTGCTTTCCCCCACACAAGGTCACCCATGGCGCGCCACCCCGAGTGCGACATGCATGATGATGGAATTGGGTCTTTGAATTTTGCCTAGTTCTCACAAAACCCTCCACACCACAGCACCACCTTGCGTGGTTATGAGAAAATCAGTCTACTCTGAATGAGCAGATGAAAGATATCTCAATCTTGATGATATAAAGGCAGTCAATAATCACTGCCCCATGAAATCCCCCAAGAAAAGCAAAATCCTGGGGCTCATGGAAGATGACAAAGTGGGTCAGTACTGACTCATAAAGTTCTGTTCCTAGAACTATCGACTGCCCCGGGAGGATGGCGAGCACTGCAGGGCAAGGGGGCACGCCAGGTCCAGAATGCAGGCAGCTACCGGAAACATCGGTAACATCTCTGCCTCACACCTGCTGGTCGGGGGAGAGTTAACTGAAGAAGCAACACCTGCAGCTTCCTGGGCACTCACCGGCAGCTCAACGGACTCCAAAATCCTTCACCTAAGCTCTCGACAACCTTAAAGCACATATTTATCCGCACCCCCACACCTGGAAGACGCATCAACTCGACAACTCCCCGCAACACCCCCACGGGTGTTCCGCACAGCGGAAAACGCACCGGCCCAGAGAGGTTAAGTCGCCTGCCCGGGTCACACAGGTGCTGACAGAGGGGAAGAGAGGGGCGGGCAGCGAGGATGCCGAGTGGCGCCTGGGCGTGGCCAAGGCGAGCCAGGGAGGACGTGGGACCCTCCAGTTGGCCCGCCAGGGTCCCCCAAACCAGAATCGACCCAATTCCCCGGCGCCCGGGTTCCACTCCGGTGCTGGGGAGTCCGACCCCACCGGAGGGGTGGGGGTTGGCCCCCGAGTTTCCAAAGTAGGCTCAGGGCAGAGCAGCGGGGAGCACCGCGCCGCCCCGGCCACACTCACGCGGGCAGGGCCGACCCACGAGGCCCCCGAAGCCCAGCGCCCCCAGGATCCGGTCAGGTGCGGGCCTCGAGTCCGCGCTTCCACCCCCGGCCACGAGTTCGCTCCCCGGTAGGGCTGCAGCGGCCCCTTCCTTCCCTGCATCCCAGGCCCAAGCTCCCACACCGCCCGAGGGGCGCCGTCGCTGCCCGGAGTGGCCCAGCCGCCCACCCACGGGCCAGGGCTGCTTCGCCGGCCATCTTCCGGCCGCGGCCCGCCGAACGGGATGTTCCCGAGCCTCCCAGGCCTGCCCCCGCCTACCAAGCCCCAGGTGAGCCATGCCGAGCGCCACCGGCCGCCGTCCTCGCCGCTGCTGCCGCCTCAGCTCTGCCGCGCCCCCACGCTCACTGCCCGCCCAAGCCAGTGCGGCGGGCGGCGCGGCGGCCGCGTGGGGGCGGGCCGGAAGGGCACCGCCGTGCCGTGGCCGCGGCTCATTGGTCGAGGCGGCCTTCGCTCACCCGCGGTGCCAATGGGAGGCGGCCGGGTAGAGGTTACGGGTTTGGTTTTTTTCCCGGGGGCGGCGGCGGCAGGCGGGGCTGGTGGCGCTGCGCTCCAATCCTACCGGCGTCGCGAGTCCTGCCTGGGCTCTCGGGGGAGGCCTGCCGTGGGGTCTCCTCATCTCGCGTTCCGTATCCCCGCCCTCAACTCGGCCTCGTCTCGTGCCCTTCTCTTTCTCCCGACGTCCAGCCACTGCTCTTGAGCCCCTTGGTGTGCCTAAGACTTTGTTGAGTGACATTAATTGCTCTTGAGGCCGGGTCGTTAGTTCAGTAGACACTTGCCAAACACGTGCCTCAGGGAATAAAACGGGACGAGGGGCCCTCGTCGGGGCACATAGCCGTGCTCTCGCCCCCATAGACCCCCGAGGGCCCTTCCTGGTGGCCTGCGGTCTGGACTGCTCACCCCTGCTGCTTCATACGTAAAACTGCTAGTACTCGCACTGCATGGGCTGGCGGGCTAGACGCAGTGGGGGCTTTGTAGGGGGCTTTCTGGGAGGAAGTGACACTTGGGAGGTTGGTCAGGCAAATGAGTCTCTCTGCGGTCGCCTCATGGCCACTGCGATGTGCTCGGGGCCGGAGACGCTGCTCGTGATGGAGCAGGGAGAGACTGTCCCTGTGGTAGCCGGGCAGCCTGCTGCTCAGAGCAGAGCCTATCTGTCCTCCTTCCCGGGCTCGCCCCTGTGCCATCTGCCAGGGAGAAACCTCCTCTCTTGCTTGTTCTGCATCCTTGTCAAGTTTGCCACTTTGCCCCGTTTCCATTAACAGTACAGTGGAGTTGGGTACAGTCACAGTCTTGGGCACTCCATGGCTGGAGACACCAGCTGTGCCCGCCCGCTCTCCTCTTTGCCTGACGTGTACTCCGCATGATGTCTTTATCAGCTGGACCCACCTTCGTGGTCCTTTTAGGCCTGGCATGTTGACCTCACAGAACACAGTTGGGTTTTGTGGTTACCTGTGGTGCAGCACAGGAGTTCCAGGGTCCTATTTGCCCCAGGGAATGTGGGCTGTGTGGGTTCTGAGCAGAACTGGCAGGGTCTGTGGGTGTCTCTCCCTGCAGCTGTGTCTGTAGCCATGGCCCGGAAGGCAGCTGCTCACTGCCCAGGCAGAGAGGCCCCCAGGGCCGGGGTTGCTGTCCCAGCAGTGGGACCTTGCCCAGCTGACTGTGAGGGCTTGGGCCCCCTGACTCTGAGGTCAGGATCAGCCTCTTGATCGGACTGAGCCTCTGAGCTGTGTTGAAGAAGCATATCTTTATCCACTGGGTACGTTCCTTCACTCTGAGTAGACTTCAGGGTTTGCTGGAAACTGTCCCTGCCCTCCTGGGCGACATGAACACCACCAAAGGAACTGCCCCAGAGAGAAGGACCAGGTGATAACCATGCTAGACCCCCAAAGATGACAACAAATATCTGAGTGAATAAAGACTTAGGTCAACTGTGTCAGCCAATGGACATCCTTCATCCTTGGATTGGCAAGATCGACAACAAACTACCTGGGCAGAACCCTCAGAGGGTGCACCACATTGGGACCCTGGGTTGGTATCAGGTGGCTGATACTGGGTATTGGGGCAGTTGGGAGGCTGGGAATGGCTTCTCCCCTTATCTGCCCCCTCCCCCACCCTGAAACAGGAAGGAGAAATAGAATATTTGGAAACAATGATCACACCCATTTCTTAACCCTTGAGTCATCCTACTTTGATCAACTATGTTAACATGTAAAAAAGAAAAGAAATGAAATGAGTGTCAGCTTGAAGCAGAAACGATGGCCTGCTCTGTTCTGTCTCCAGGCCTTTGTTCCTGCCATCCATTGTTCAGAAGCCGGTACCCTGCACCCTGCCTGTCAGAATCCTCCACAGTTTGAGAAGAGGCAAGGCTGGGTGATGGGCCATTCCTTCACTTGTGAGTATGTGTGAGGACCTGAGCATGTCCCCTGGAGACATCCGCTAGCCCACTGCCACCTGCCTTCTCTCAGAGTGGAGGGACGCAGTGGGTCAGGGAGAGATGAGCAAGTCACTCAGCTGGGGAGCCATAAATCCTAAGGAAATGGAGAAAAGAAAGCTCTGGTGATTCTCAACACAGCCTAACTCACAGAGGAAACTTCTGCGGGAGTGTGTCAGCATCGTGGCACTGCATGTTAAGACGATGCTTGGGGCACCTACATCCCATGTTGCAACTGAGTCCCACCTCCACTCGGATCCAGTTCCTTGTTAATGCTTCTGGAAGGCAGAGGAGGCCGGGCCAAGTGCTTGCAACTCATGTGAGAGACCTGGTTGGAGTTCCTGACTCCTGGCTTTGACTCAGCTCAATCTGAGATGTTGCAGGGTTTTGAGGAGTGAATCAATAGATTGAGGTGTTTTCTCTCCTCTGTCACTCTGCCTTTCAAATAAATAAATCTTTCAAAAAGAGGAGGGACCAGCACCATGGCACAACAGGTTAAGCCTCTGCCTGAAGTGCTGGCATGTCACATAGACACCAGTTTGAGTCCTGGCTGCTCCTTTCCCAAATCCAGCTTCCTGCTCATGGCCTGGGAAAGCAGTAGAGGATAGCCTAAGTGCTTGAGCCCCTACACTCATGAGGGAGACCCAGAAGAAACTCCAGGCCCTTGGTCTCAGACTGGCCCAGCGTTGGCCATTGTGGCCATTTAGGGAGTGAACCAGAAGATGGAAGACTTCTCTTGTCTTTTCTGTGCAAATCTACCTTTCACATAAAAATAAGTCTTAAAAAAAGAAAAATTCTGAGAGAAGCATACACAGACTTATGTGTCATTATCATCATGAACCACTTGACTTGTGGGAGTTTGAGTTACAATTTTGTTCATTGGCCTTGAAAGGTTATCAATGTTCTGAACTGTTCTTTCTTCCTCATTACTTGCCTGGCTTATTTTCTGGTTGGTGATGGAGGCTTTGTTGAACACTTTGTGATCTTGAGAGCATCTCACTGTTGCCACCTCTGCTTTTCTGGAACAATGGCCTGGGGCTGGTGTTTGATGGGCCTAGTCTGCAGCCAGGAGCAGTCTCAGTCATCCAGCCCTGGTCCACTGCCTTCTAAGTGAGCACCTGCAGAGCCACAAAATTCTAGACTCTGAGGAAGTTTGACTGTTTTAACTTTCTGTTCTTAAAAGTCATCCTGGTATTAGAGGGAGAGTAGTCAGCTTGGTGTGCAGAGGGCGTCCCAGAGCCCTGCTGCAGGGGCTGGCAGGATTCATCAAGCACGCTGTGTGCCTTGGCCCATCCCGGCTCACCCTGAGAATCCCTGCACGCCAGGGCCCCGCAGCAGGGTGTTGCCTCTTTATTATGTCACCTCACAGAATTTTTTAATGCCTTTATTGTAGGGCTTTTTAATTTACTTGCCTTGCCCGTTAGACTGTGAATTCCTCGAGACACAGGAATGTCTCTTAATCACCTTTGCATTGCTAGGATCCAGTGTCAGTGCCTGACAACACAAGATATTCGATGGACAGCAGCTAAGTGAGTGAGTGAGCCAACAGGGACCCTTTCCTGGGGTCTGCAGCCAGAGCTTTGTTCACATTTCATTGAGGAAGCAGCAGAGCATTCTAGATTACCGCAAATAATACTGAAAAGCTCACCTTGTCCTGGTGACTCTTGTGCTCCCAACACCTACCTCCACAGCCAGCCAGTTATTTAGTCATTTCTCAGACTCCTTTTGTCTGTGTATAACTCACCAAGTGATCTACGGATCATACGTGGGATTTGCATGGATCTTTTGCTGAACTTGTCACAGTTGTATCTGTCTAAGCTGAGCTTTAAGCTGGAACCTTGAAAGTGGTCTCTGGATGCTCAGGAAGCTGAGTGGTCTCAGAACTTCTCTCATCAAGTTGAGGATGGAAGCTACCCAAGTGTCCATAAACAGGAGAATACCCAATGTGGGACTTGGGGCTTCTGCCCTGCCTGCACCATCGTGGGTCCCCTTGAAGGGGCAAGGCTGGGTGGCACACATTGTCACCTGGGCACAGTTGGGTGGCTTCCTGAGAACTGTCAGGTATGTGTCCATGGCCTTTTCTCTCTCTGGCTTTGTAGACACTCTTACTAAGACCCAGCAGAGCTCTCTGTAGGCCTTTATGCAGGGAGAAGTGCCTATCTCTGGGGCCTGGGACCCGGGTGGGGTTGGTGGCAGCATCCTGTCGCCTTGGAGGTGAGCTAATTGCAGCCTGCAATTGGGCAGGGACTAGGGAAGTGTCTGGCCTCTGCTGCTAGATCGCCTGCCTCCAGGTCCTCACAGTTGTTGATCAGCCGTGAGAACTCAGGCACCTGTTGTTGTTGTTGTTGTTGCTATTTTTTTTTATTGGAAAGGCAAATTTACTGAGAGAGAGAATGAGCCATAGAGAGAAGGCTTTTCATCCACTGGCTCACTTCACAAATGGCCACAATGGCCAGAGCTGTGCTGATCCAAAGCTGTGAGGCAGGAGTTTCTTCCAGGTCTCCCATACGGGTGTAGGATCCCAAGGCCTTGGGTCATCCTCCACTGCTTGTCCAGGCCACAAGCAAGGAGCTGGATGGTGGAGCAGTCATGTGGGATGTTGCCCTTACAGATGCAGAACTAGCTAGTTGAGTCAAAGCACTGGCCCCAGGCACCTGGTTTCTTTGGGCCTCAGTGTTTGTATTTGTCAATGGACAGAGTGGTCATTGTACCCTAGCTCATGAGGTGGTGGAAAAGCTTGAAAGTGCAACCATCTTTTCCTGGAGCTTCCCCAGAAAATGATTTAGCAGTCTCATTCCTGGATGTATGCCCAAAGGAAATACACCCCACCTCTCAGAGGCACCTACATGCAGGACTATTGCAGCACAAGTCACAAGGAACCAAGACAATGGAGATA